AGCCAGTGATTTTGTTTCCGGAAGCTCAAGCTCGGAAGCCCAGGGTTTAGGGTTTAGGGTTTAGGGTCTAGGGTTTAGGGTAGGGTTCAAGGTTTTGTGATGGCGGTTTCTGATGAAACCAAGAACACGGTACCCGCCTCGGTATTCCTACCCCGCAGGTTGCTGGGCACATAAGGTCGACAATTCCAAAAGAAGCACTCCTTTGTATGCATACACATACACACACAGACTTTTAATTAGATAAAAAGGTGTATATAATATACATATATATAAATATATACTAAAAATGTCTATATCTATATCTATAGCTAAATATTCTTTATTTCTTTGTTTTTTTAATCTATGTCTATATTTAGATTTTATGTTTATGTTTATATCTATATTTATCTGTTTATACACATTTTCACTTTGCATAGTTCCTATACGGAAAATGCCCTAACCCTGCACCCCCTCAGCCTTTATTTAGGATTTAGAAGGGTTCCCCAAAGGGCCCACGGCACCATGGGCCTGGCAAATGGGGGAATGGGAGGATGTAGGGTTTTTAGGGTTTAGGGTCACGAGAGCGAGAGACGGGCACTCAAAGAGCGAAGGGCGACATCTGAAGCCTCAGAGCCTCGAATCTTGAACCCCAACCCTGAATGGTATGTGACTTTGGGTTTAGGGTTTAGGGTTTAGTGTTTAGGGTTTAGGGTTTAGGGTTTAGGGTTTAGGGTTTAGGGTTTAGGGTTTAGGGTTTATGGTACCTCAAGCCTAAACCTTGCAGCCTTCAAGCGGCAGGCAGAGGCAGCAGCTGCGGTGGATGCAACGCAGCTGGCAACATCGAAGGCCTCCCTTGTCGAGCACGTCGGCTGTGCCATGTCGTACAGCTTTAAAACTTGAAGGTTCATGGGTAGTTATAAGTAGGGCTATAAGTGCCCTAACTATGGTTATAGAAGAGGTTGCCATGCTTATAACCCTAATTCTAATTACCCATGAACCTTCAAGAAGAGCTTAGGGGTCAGAGGCAAGGGAGTTGGCTGCAGAATGTGGGCACGCTGTCTTGACGGTTTCTCGTGCACCCTAAACCCCAAACCCTAAACCCCAAACCCAAAACCCTAAACCCTAAACCCTAATCCCTAAACCCTATACCTAAACCCTAAACCTTAAATCTCTTGCAGAATGCGCCTTGAGCCGCGTGAAGGTTTCAGAATACTGTCGCATGCCAGCCTTCACTTTGCTGGGCCGGAGTGCGCGTTTAGGGTTTAGGGTTTAGGGTTTAAGGTTTAGGGATCCTTAACCTAAACCCTGTAGGCCTTTAGGTTCAACTGCTACGACCCCACTTATTTTCACAAGGAATCGCACGAAGTCGCGGCCGCCCATAGGGTGGCGGTACCTAGGTAAACCCTGGTGGCTCCCGTGAGCCCACCCTGAGAAGAGGGGACTCTGACACCTAGCAGCCGAAGCACCCACAGTCGTCTCGACCAGGCGTGCTTGCCTATTGCCACTCACCCAGACGCTTTCCAGGCAGGTGCTGAGCCCAAACTCCCTCAGAATAATTGTTTGAGGTGACAAGAAAAGGCCTCGCTAAACTCTAAGGACCTGCGCCTTCACATCTTTGTGGTACTTTACCGTAACTTTAGATCCTTACCCTTTTTGGGTTTATTGGGTTTCTCAATAAGGCAGCTAAAAGTCTAATTTATAGCTACCCTCCTGAGTGCAGCCAAGACATGGAGGGACATGGGATCTGCACACTAAGCAACGGCTCGGCCTCACTGGGTCGCTGCTCTGCCCCCCCCACAACGCCTTGGGGAGGAGACCTTTTCAAGGCTTGAGCAGAGGGCGCCTTAACTCACCTTCGCAAAGCTGGACGCTGGCGAAACAGGGTTTTCAACAGGGAAGCTTGGAGCCTGGCATGCTCCTTACAGCCCTCTTAAAGGGGCGCCATAAACCTGGTACTAGGCACAGGTATGGCAGAAATGGCAGAGGCCTTTCCTGGGCAAAGTTAGGACTGGCACCCTGAGCACTGGCCCCTCCTCACCACAAGGGAGGCAGTGTGGCCTGGGAGTCTACACGCCACACGTGAGTTTCGGGCCTCCTCTTGACATCCCGAAATCCTCAGCAACTCGAACCAAGTAGGCCATTATTCCCTTTTTGGGGGGATTTTTGGGTTCCGTGAGAGGCCCCTTTAACAACCCAAAAAGGGCGCACCACCCCATTTATTCCTGGGTTAGGGTTCTGGGTTTAGGGTTTAGGGTTTAGGGTTTAGGGCTTAGGGTTCATATAGGGTTGAGGGGTTAAAAGTTTAGGGTGAGCAGGGCGCTCCGGTCAAGCCGCGGGACCTCCGCCGGCCGTCCGAGCCAGCAGAGCCGCCACGGCGCCACGCGCCGTTTCGCAGCTGCGTTTTGAGGGGGGGGGGGGGGGTTAGGGTTTAGGGTTTAGGGTTTAGGGTTTGGGGTTTATGGGGTTTATGGGGTTTATGGGGTTTATGGGGTTTAGAGGGTTTATAGGGTTTGTAGGGTTTATAGGGTTCATAGGGTTTATAGGGCTTACACGGTTTAGGGTTTTGGGTTCGGGTTTAGGGTTTCGGGGGCGGCGGCGGGGGGTGGGGTGGGGGGGGGGGGGATTGAGAAAAGCTTTAGGGCTTCGCACATCCATGGTTTTTGTTTTCCTTTATGTGTTTTTCGGGCCCAGAGACCAGTCCATTGGGATGCTCCCCCTTCTAAGTCCTTAATAGCAATCTATCGTACCCTACACCCTTCACCCCCTGTTGAAGCACTAGAGGGATTATAGTAGGGGGTTACTGTCATCCCGATTAAGGAGCTGTTAGGAAAAGGGGAGAACATCCCAAAGGCCATACACAAGAAGGATTTTGGGCCTAAGGGGAGGTTTAGGGGGGGGGGGGGGTTAGGGTTTAGGGTTTAGCGTTTAGGGCTTAGGGTCAATGGACTGGGTTGTGCACCTTTGTGGGGTTTGAGGCTCGGTCCGGGCAGGTGGGGTTCAGGTTTTCTTGGGTCCTGAAAGGGTCTCATCATGGAGAAGCCTGTCGAGGTGATGGGCTTCAGGTTTTCTTGGGCGCAAGGTCTCCACTCAGTGGGGTTTAGGGTTTAGGGTTTAGGGTTGCAAAATGTTCTTCCCGATGCCTCGTCGCTAAATCACCCCTATAACCCCCTAAACTCTAAACCCCAACCCTAAACCCTAAAAAGGGCTGAGGCTTAGGGCTTATCAGCCCAAAGCTACCGCAGAACTCAAACATCTCAGGGCATCCGTGGCAGCCGAGCAGGCCGCACAGACTCCTGGTCAGCCTCGGCTTGCTTGGACTAGGGTTTAGGGTTTAGGGTTTAGGGTTCAGGGTTTAGGGTTTAGGGTGTAGGTTCTAGCGTGTAAGGTTTAGGGTGTAGGGTTTAGGAAAAGAGTAACAGGGTACTTACCGACACCCAAGGAATTTGGAACCGTGAGTGCTCCCGCGATACGTCCAAGATCTGTGATGGATAAGTTTACTAGTATAGGTTTGTTTTTGGGTTTAGGGCTGAGGGTCTAGGATTTATACAAAGAATGTGACATACTTGTCTTGCACACACACACACACATATATATATATATACATAGACACATATTTCGCTACCACATTGCACTAGTTTCATTCCGTTCTTCTTGTTTTACATTACACAATATAAGTCTGAACTTCCTCCCGGGTCTTACTTCGGCTTTCGCAGTGCAGAAAGCTAGGCAGGGCCCCAGTCAAAGGACATGTCCCCTGGCCTTGTGCCCTTTGCACAAAGACCCTCTTGCGCGAGCGCTTCGTGCACCGGAGGCTTCTTAGGGGTTCAGGGTTTGCAGGTTTCTTTTTGGGGTTTATAGGGTTTGCAGGGTTTCTAGGATTTGTAGGGTTTACAGCCTTTGTAGGCTTTATAGGGTTTATGTGGTTCATGTTTATTTTTGGGGGTTTAGGGTATAAGGATGCCGCAAAGAGGTTGCGCTGTTATGGAGAGGGCGGCTCAAGTCTGGTAGCATGAGCCCATCCTACGCTGCCCTGGCGCCGCCTAAGCTCATTGGCAGCCCAGTGGTACCCTTTACCCCTCTTTTTTTAGGTTTAGGTTTTAGGGTTTAGGGTTTAGGGTTTAGGGTTTAGGGTTTAGGGTTTAGGGTTTAGGGTTTAGGGTTTAGGGTTTAGGGTTTAGGGTGGCTCCCTCGTAAAGTAACCAGCCAAAAAAGGAGTACCTTGGGATGTTCCCCTTGTACTAGCAGTCCTTAATAGGGATTGTACATAGGGGGGGATACGCGAATCCCTTTTTAGGACTGTTAGTATGAGGGGAAACATCCCAAAGGGTACCCTTATCTACTATTTGCTTAAGAACCCCCAAAAGAATAAGATAAAATAATCCCTATATGACCATTAACAAGGAAGAATATGTTTATTCATTTGGGGTTCTGAAGCAAGTAGTAGTTATGAGAGTATGGTTACTGGGCTACTGAGGCTCAGAGCCACGGTGCAATGGCTGAGACAGGCAGTCAGAAGCTTGTCAGGGACACAGCTCGGGCCCTAGTTGCGGGGGTTGGGGTTTAGGGTTTCTAGGGTTTAGGGTTTCTGGGGTTTAGGGTTTAGGGTTTAGGGTCGGGAGCATATCCAAGCTCGTTGCAAAAGGGTTGGGGTTTTGGGGATTATGGTAGGTCGATGGCTGGTGGAGAGATTTTGGCCATTCCGTTTATAGGAAGCCCGAAGTCTGACGCCATCTGTGACCATCGCACTCCCAAGCTGCATGACACCAAGGCTCTTTGCAATTCTGCTTCTTGCTTGGGCGGCAATTCGTGCCCGAAGCGAGCTGACGCGAGATGCGTCTTTGCTGTTGCGCCGCTTAGTGGACTACCTGAGCTTTGCTGCAAACTGGCGGACGAGATCCCGCACTGATTATGTTCAGCGCTTGGGAGCCAACTCGGAGGGAGCTGGGAAGTTGTTCTCAGACTACAGCAAGATGCTTCCACCCTGGCTCTCTGCGGCCCTTAAGATCGAAGGATTCAACAGGATGAAGCCCATCCAGCAGGAGGTGCTGCCCCTCGCCCTGGCTGGCCACGATATCATCGCCACCGCCCCCACTGGCTCCGGCAAGACCCTGGCCTTCTTGGTGCCGGCGCTCACGCGCGTGACGGAGGTGCGATCTGGGAGCCGGAGCTCAGGCATCGGGCCCATCGCCCTCGTCCTGGCTCCCACGCGCGAGCTGGCCATCCAGATCGCCTCCGTGGCAGAGAGGTTGACGAAGACTGGCACTCGCAAGGACCACGTGTCCGTGGCTGCGATTTATGGAGGTGCCCGCAGGATGGACCAGCTCGCGAGCCTGAGGCGGCAAGGCAATGTGCAACTGCTGGTGGCCACAGTGGGGCGGCTCCTGGATTTCATGCGCGACGCCCAAGGCATCAATCTACGAAGGCAGGCTGGGAGCCGAATCCCCCCCCCCCCCCAAAAAAAAAAAAAAATCCCGAAACTGTACTTTCCTCTGGAACTGCTATTTAGCCGAATCAGCCTTAGATAAGGCAGCTTGGAAGCCCCAAACCCTATGAGCCCTATAAACCCTCTAAACCCTCCAAACCCTCCAAACCCTCTAAACCCTCAACCCCAACAGCAGGTGCTCCTTCCTAGTTCTCGATGAGGGGGATCGAATGCTGGACGATGGCTTTGAAGACGAGGTGGCCATGATTGGCCGGGAGGCATCCAGCAGGGTTGTGGGTTTTTTTGGGGTTTAGGGTTTTTGGGGTTTGGGGTGGGGGTTTAGTGCAACAGGGGTTCGGGTTGCAGGGTTGAGGGTTGAGGGTTGAGGGATTTTGTTTCCACGGTTGATGGTTTCAGGGTTTCTAGGGTTTACGGGGTCAAAAGGGTTGCAAGATGTAGGGTTCAGGCTTCCAGGGTTGAGCTGGTAGACGGTTTAGGGTTTAGGGTTAAGGGTTCCAGGGTTTAGGTTTAAGCTTGGTTTAAGGTTGCGGCCTGCAGGGCTGGAAGAGGCATTCCTGCAGGGTTTCATAGGGTTTAGGGTTAAGGGTTTAGGGTTTAGGGTTGCCGCCCTGCTTTGGGCCATAAGCTGCAAACAGCGAACTGGGCGGGTGGCAACAACAAATCAAAAAACAACTAAGCCCCAAACCCCCCAAAACCCTTTCCAAGACCTCTACTCGAAGGTTCCTGGGTAGTTCTCAGTAGGGTTATCAGTAAGGTGACCTGCAGTATAACCTTCGTTTTTCTATGTCCTTAGAGAACTCCTCGTGTACCTTCAAGTAAGAGCTTATCCCTACCCATGAACCTTCGAGTAAGAGAGACCTGAACCAGAGGCGCGGCGCGAGAAGCAGGCCTGGCACAGTGTCGTCAGGGTTGTTGAGCTGGGTTTCTTTCCGTCTTGTCGGGGGTTGGAAGGGGTGGGGGGGAAACCCCAAACCCTAAACCCTAAACCCTAAACCCTAAACCCTAAAAACCCCAAAAACCCTATCCCCTAAACCGGGCCCGGCGGGGGGGGGGGGGGGGGGGGGGGAGGGGGGGGGGGGGGGGAGGGGGGGAGGGGGCGAGGGGGACTTGCCCCATTGATTTAATCTCTCCCCATATGTAGCCCACCTGGAGCTCCCCTTGGATGCACGAAGCTTTAGGGATGGGGTTTAGGGTTTAGGGTTTAGGGTTTAGGGTTTAGGTTTAGGGTTTAGGGTTTAGGGTTTAGGGTTTAGGGTTTAGGGTTTAGGGTTTAGGGTTTAGGGTTTAGGGTTTAGGGTTTAGGGTTTGTCTCACTGAAGCGAGATGTCAAGGTATGGGAATTACTTAGGTTTCAGGGGCACGGTTTGGCAGATTGACTTCGGCCCAGCTGCCCCATGCAGAAACCACAAAGCTCGTGAGCCTTCGACCGCCTAAACTCTAAACACCCGTCCCTACAGGCTCCACGCCCCTACACCCTAAAACCTGGACCATTTCTCACCCCAAGCTCTAAACCCTAAGCCCTAAACCCTATAAACCCTAACCCCAAGCCCTTAACCTCAAAAAGCCGCAAAGCCCATACCCTGGAGCCTATGCACCCCAGCCCGCCAGCCACAAATCCCCAAAGTCCTTCATAAGCCAAAACCATAGCGAAAGCCTTATGCAACCCTACTAAAGACTGAAAGCAACCCCAAGAACCTGGCACATGAAGGTTCATCGGTAGCTTCACGCAGGGTTTCGAGTAAGGTATCAGAATCAAGGTACGCTTAGAACCCTACTTGTATGAGTACCCATGAACCCGTCATGTACAACCCTAAAGCCCTAAAAACCCTAACCAAAAAGACCGAAATCCCTAAACCCTAAACCCTTAACCTTCTAGCCATTCGCGCAGGTCCTGTTCTTCTCCGCTACCTGGCCACCCTCGGTGGAGCGCGCGGCCCTACGCTTGTGCCGGGGGTCAGCGCTGCGTGCAGTGGGCCGCAGCAGTGGGTTTAGGGGGGCTTTGTTGCGTTCAGGGATTCTATAGTGCTTGCTGCAGGATTTCGGGACTCAGGGTTCGCAGTTCTAGCTCTCGTTGTCTTTTGTTTTTTTGTTGGTTTTCTGTGGTTTATGCGGGGTTGGGCCTAAACCCGAAACTCTAGACCCTTCGGGGTCGCAGGGTTTGGGGACATAGCGCTCCGCAATTGGTTTGAGCTGCAGCACAGGGCGGGATCTGCGTCTCCAGAACCGTGTCTGACTCATAGGCATCGGGGCTGCTGCGACAAGGAACTTAAGTCAAGCTACAAAAGGGCCCCATACTAGCCTACAGGGGTTTCTGGAAACCAACTTCTCACTATTCTGAAAGCTAACTAGCATATAATATCTACTTAAAATACATGGTAAATAGTATACATATATGCAGCCCCGCAAGTACCCAGCATGAAGCCCCCCCAAAATCAAGCGCATGTATACATCATTTCATAGTCTTGGCCGTTTCTAGCCCTAGACGGCAAGTGGGGAGGCAGTCGCGTTTCAGAATCGGGGAGCCTAAAATTTTTTCACCCACGGTATACCCTTATAATTCCCTCGAAAGTTACGAGACTGTTCTTCCCTACGCCATTGTGTATAGTGACCCTAAACCTTAAAACCTCTTATTTCCGGGGAGCAGGGTTGCATGGCTTTCGCACTTCATGGTTCCCTGTGCCTGTGCATTAGGGTTAAGGGTTTAGGGTTTAGGGTTTAGGGTTTAGGGGTGGCTGCGTCGGGTCCTAGCTAAGCCTCCGATACCCTAAACCGTTTACTGAAACCCAAAGAGTCTCCCGTTTCCGCAGAGTTTAGGGTTTAGGGTTTAGGAAGCCCTGAACCTTAAACCCCCAAAGCCCTGAGCGCTTCATCTAAGGCAGAGTGGCGCTGGAACTGGCACAGGTCCAGGAGGACCTAATTCCCAGCCACTCGACCCAAGAGCCCTAGGGTTGAGGTTGGGGTTGAGGGCTGAGGGCTGAGGGCTGAGGGCTGAGGGCTGAGGGCTGAGGGCTGAGGGCTGAGGGCTGAGGGCTGAGGGCTGAGGGCTGAGGGTGGCGTTGAGGGCGGGTTTGGGGTGTGTCATGCGAGGGCGTGCGCGAGGGCCCGAGCCCGCGTTGCCGGTCGACCTGCCACTGCCCTGCCGCCAGCGGCAAAGGAGGACCCCCAGCCAGGCAAAGGGTTTGGACTCGCGGTTATGCTTTAGCAACGCTAATTATTAAAGGTGGTCTGGCTAAGGCCATCATCCGTGGGCCTGTTCAGGATAGATGGTCAGACACCTCTCCGTTTCTCTTTTCGTATGCACGCTCGGCTTGTGAGACCCTCGGCCATAGCAAGCGGGGTCTGTCGCTCGGCGGATGCGACTCCTCACCTGGCTTAGGGATGGGCTGAGGGTTTCAGCATGAGGGTTCTGGTACGATGTCTTGGTTACTGAGAAGGTTAGGGGAGCCTGCTTTTTTTGTCGGTCTGAAAGTTCAGGCCAGTTCGCACTGGGTTTTGTGCCCAGAGAGCCAAAAAAACCTCTTAGTAAAGGAAGATACCTTGAACTATATAGGGATCCTTAGAGGGGTCCCGTATATTAGGCTGTTTGGGTGAGGCTTCGGGCGGCAGCCCTGCTTGCACTTGGACATTTAGCTGGAAGGGGGGGGGAGGGGCGGGGGGAGTTCGGGGTTTTTCCGCTCGCCCGAAAAACCCCCTCGGGCCCAAGCAAACCCTCTGAAAGCCCTCTTCGGGATTTAGGGTTTCGGGTTTCGGGTTTAGGGTTTCGGGTTTCGGGTTTAGGGTTTAGGGGAGTGAGTGAGTCAGTGAGTGGACGGCCTGGGGTGCACTCCGGCCAACAGAAACGTTCCCTCCCGCCATCTCTTCCCCCCTCCGCTTGCGTCATTGGGGAGGTCCGGCAAGAGTTCGACGCTCCGAGCCCCTCAATCCGAGCTGGGAAAAACGCCACCCGAACCTCCATGGGCCCGCCCCCCCAAGCCGGGCGGCTTGGGTTGGATTTGGGCACTTAGGCAAGACAGCCCACTTCACAGGAACAGAAACTCTTCCCCTTGCGATCCCTCACAAAGGTACTAAGCTGGGGGCATTGGCTCGGAGACAGGGCTTGGGATGCGGGGTGGTCGTACCAAACACGCACACACGCACCGGCAGCAAGACTAAGGGAAAAAGCAAGTTCAGCTAATCCCCTTTTGGCTGCACAAACTCCAACAGTATCCCCTTGGCATGCGGGGCAATGCCTGCAACTCAAGGCACCGCCCCCGACCAGAAGGGGGTTTAGGGTTTAGGGTTTAGGGGGAGCGGGGGGGCATGAGGTGCCGAAGACACAAACGTCTCGCTGCCGCCGAGTGGCATCCAGCAGATGGTGGAGGCAGGGTGAAGGAGGGCTTGCTCCATCTTTAGGGTTTAGGGTTTAGGGTTTAGGGGTTAAGGAAGTTATGCAGTCCTAGGCACCCTGTAACCCGACTTTGTCTGACATCCCCCTAACCCTAAACCCTAAACTCTGCCCTAAACCCTGAACCCCATCCACCGAAGCCCTGAACCGGGGAGTCCTCCCTAAAGCGCCGAGTCCTGGAGGGCTCAGGGTGTTCTAGGGCCCTAAACCCAAACCCTAAACCTTATCAACCTAACCCTAAACCGTAAACCCTACACCCTAAACCCTAAACCCTAAACCCTAAACGCAGGTTTAGGGTGTTCGGGGTTTGTGTGGGGGGGACCCCTCCAGGTCTGCAACCATCGGGCCAAGCTTGCCATCCTGCAACTCGGCAGCCTGAGGGTTTAAGGTTCAAAAGGTTTTAAGGTTTAGGGAATTTTTAGGGTTTAGGGTTTAGGGTTTAGCTTGCTGTCGGATTTATGGGGCTTAGGGACTTTTAGGGTTTATAGGTTCAGGTCCTTTCCTGTTTAGGGCCCGCAAAAGGGTGTGGGCCCCTTGAGGGATGTCCGGGAGGAAGGCACTATAGGGTTAAGGATGAACGTCCAAGTTGTTGGTTAGGGTTTAGGGTTTAGGGTTCAGGGTTCCGGGTTTAGGGTTTAGGGTTTAGGGTTCAGGGTTCAGGGTTCACGGTTCAGGGTTTAGGGTTTAGGGTTTAGGGTTCAGGCATGAACGTCTAAGTTCTAGAAGGTTGGACCACCTCCGCGCGGCGAACCTTCAGAAATCTCTGCGCCCCCCGGGGAGCATCTGGAAGGTTTAGGGTTTAGGGTTTAGGGATTAGGGTTTAGGAAGACCCGTAGTCTTATTCCCCTTTATCACCCCTCTACATACCTTTTACAGTCTGTATATACCTAGGTAGCCCCTAAATTCAAGCCTAAATAACCCCTAAGGTCCCTTATAAGGGTCCCTCCTTCAGTCCCTGCCTACTTGAGGGTTAATGATTCATGGGTAGTTATAAGTAGGGTTGGGAGTAAAGTAGCCTATATGGCATCCTTCCTTGGTAACCTATATTGTATCCTTAATTAGGGCACTCATAGAACCCTACTGAGAACTACCCACGATCCTACAAGTAGATGCTTTGGTGTTTAGGGTGTGCAGTGCGGCTTCAACGCTTCTCTAAGGGGACTTGCATGGCTCCGAAGTATAAGGGGTCTCCAAGTTATAAGTAGAGTTATAAGGGCCCTAAATTGGGTTATAAGGACCCTAAATTAGCTTATAAGTCCCTTAACTATAGTTAGTAAGGTAAGGGGGCCCCTCCTTGTATAAGGGGTCTCCATTTAAGGGCCCATACTAAGGGACCATGAAACCGCACTTAGAGTTTCGCCTCCTGCTGCTTCGGGAGTGCGGGATGGAATCGATTTTTGGCAGAATCCCTGCTTGGTTTCTTTTTTTATTTGGCTTGCATATGAGAGCTGGGCGGCGCCTAAAGTGGACCCTAAGCCCGAAACCCTAAACCCTCAACCCTAAACCCTAGGCCCTAAACCCTAAACCCTAAACTCTAAACCCCAAACCCTAAACCCTAAGCACCAGGCCAGGGAGGAGGCAAAGTGCTGGTTTTTGTCCAGAGACGTGCTTCAGCGGACGACCTCGCGGCTCTCATTGCTGACGAGTTCGGCCAGACATGCCGCTTGGATCTGGGGGTTTAGCGTTTAGGGTTGAGTGTTTAGGGTTTAGGGTTTAGGGTTTAGGGTTTATTTAGGGTTGAGGGTTTAGGGTTTCGGGTGTAGTGTTTAGGGCTGATGTGGGGGTTTCCCGACATGAGGGCTACCTTATTGTTGTCCTTACTATCAGGAAATCCTACTACTTGGGAAGTCAATTTTAGGGGTCCCCCATCTTCGTAAACCCCCAATCTAGGGAGGCCCTTTGGGATATTTGATTTTTATCCTCACGCATCTCTAAACCCCCTAAACTCTAAGCTCTAAACCCTAAACCCTAAACCCTAAACTTTAAACTCTAAACCCAATCTGTTTTTAGTTCCCGAAAATGAGGGTACCTTTTTGGGGTTCCTATAATAAGGATTGCAGTGCGTTGGGCATATGAAAGAAACCCTTTTTGGGGGGAATTACAATGCTTGTTATACTCACGAAATCTTTTTCTTCAGAGAGATTTAAGGGCCATCTTAGTCATGGTCTTGGGATGAGTCTCCACTGTGGAGCTCCTGTAGACTGATTTTGTTTTTTTCCTCCGGTAAGGGCCCAGAGTGCCCCAAACCCCTCAATTAAGGAATATGTACCCTATGACTATACAGAGATCCTTGGTGTGATTTGAGGTCGGTTCCTCATTTGATGGGTTTTTTTTGGCTGTCTGGGGGTATTATCACAAGTGCCAGCGCCAGGTGGGGTGATGCATGGTTTGCGCAGCCAAGACCAACGCGAGGCCACTCTCAGCAAGTTTCTGGGTGGGACTTTACTACAACTTTATCACTTTACAAGTTTAGGGTTCCTCTATTTTCATATTAAGGGAGCTGAAAGTTAAGCTTTTATTGGGGGGTTAAACAGCAACCAAGGTTTCGCGCTGGCCAGATCAGGGTCCTGATTGCCACGGACGTCCTCGGGCGGGGCGTCGACATCCCCGACGTCAGCCTGGTCTTCATTTATGACTTTCCGGGGGATATCGAGACGTACCTTGGGGACGACATGAACCATAAACGGACCTTTATCATAGGAATTATAGTAACTAGTATAGAGTATATATATATATATGGTACCCCCCCCGCCCCATATGCCCACACTTTTTCCTCTCAGGTGCCATGGTAGCGGTTAGAGGCTTAGGATTTCGAAGCCTCCGAGAGCAGCGAGCACTGTACCAATGTTTTAGGCCCAAAAGAGCAAAAACGCTGTACTGTTCCAAAAAAACCAATCTTTTTAAGCCAAAACAAGCAAAAATGCCGTACTGTCCCAAAAAAAACCAAAGTTTGGAGACCTCCAGGCCCTGGAGGAGCCCAAGGTCTCCAAACTTTGGTTTTTTTTGTTTTTTTTTGGCTTTTTTGGGACAGTACAGCATTTTTGCACTTTTTGCCTTAAAAAGATTGTTTTTTTTGGGACAGTACAGCATTTTCGAGGCCTGGGACCGCAAAAACGCTATACTGTCCAAAAAAAACCAATCCTTTTAAGCCAAAGCAAGCAAAAATGCTGTACTGTCCCAAAAAAACCAAAAAGAACCAAAGTTTGGAGACCTCCAGGCCCTGGAGGAGCCCAAGGTCTCCAAACTTTGTCTTTTTTGGTTTTCTGGGACAGTACAGCATTTTTGCACATTTTGCCCTAAAAAGATGGTTTTTTTGGGACAGTACAGCAGACTGCAAAAACGCTGTACTGTCCCAAAAAACCAATCTTTTAAGCCGATTCACATTATTTTATACAGGAGTCCTATTGGTTCCTATTCATTTAGCAAGATTCCTTCTCATTTTAACAGGATTCCTATGAATTCGAACCGGTTCTTTTCAATTTGGTAAGGGTTCCTATGCATTTTAATAGGCTTCCTATTAACTTTTATCGGTTCCGAAAAAATATTGGCAGGATTCCTATGAAGTCAATAGAGGATTCCTATTTATTTTATAGGATTCCAATAAAGTTTCATAGGGTTCCTAATTCTTTTAATAAGGCTCCTACTAATGTAATAAATTCTTATCAATTTTAATCAGATGCTTATTCATGTTAATGGGATTCGTATTTATTTTAATGGATCGCATTCGTTTGAAAGGGATACCGATTGGTTTAGGCTCATATTAATTTTAGTAGGATTCCTATTATTTAGGGGTTCACACTTTTTTTGTAGGAGTCCCATTGGTTCCTATTAATTTTAGTAGGGGCCCTCTTCAGTTTATTAGGATTGCTATCAAGTATAATTGGGTTCTACTTTTTCTAGGGTTCCTATGGATTGAAATAGAGGATTCCTGTTGTTCTGTGTATAAGATTCCAATACATTTCCATAGTTGCCTAATTATTTTAATAAGGCTCCTACAAATGCAATATGATTCCTATCCATTTTATTCTGTCATTTGAATAGGGTTCCAATAGAATTTGAGAATTAAATTAAGGGTTCTCACTCCTATTAATGGGTTTCCTTTTCATTTTTATAAGATTCCTATTGAAACAAGATGAATCCTATGAACCCAATTAAATTTGATAGGAACGCTATTCACATGCATAGGATTTCTATTTAAATTCATAGCATGCAATCCACAATCTCGAGCAAATTGTTCAGGCCATTTCTGCTGGAGTTTTATGGGAGTCCCTCCCCCCTTTAAAAACCACCGCGCGTGGCGGAACGTAGTATTTTTGTCTGGAAACCATGCTGAAGCGTGGGTGCATGTGGGGGGGGGGGGGGTAGCATACATATATATATGTATACATATTATATATATATTTATATATATATATATGTATATCACCCCAATTTTAGGGTTCATTTGGGCTCCAAGGTATGTGCATCGTGTAGGCCGCACCGGGCGCAACGGCCAATGCGGCCGTGCAGTGTCGCTTTTTGAGCCCCAGGAGTGGAGCCTGGGCCCCTATTGACCTACAGTTTAGTAGTAGCTACCCCTTAATTAATAGGCATAACCCTAAACCTTAGACCCTAGACCCGAAACCCTAAACCTGAAACCCTAAACCCTAAGCCCTAAACTGTAGACCCTAAACCCTAGACCCTAAACCCTAAACCCTAAACCCGAAACCCGAAACCCTAAACCCCAATCCCAGGAATGCCTTCTTGGCTCGCGAGCTGGTGGAAGTCCTGGATGCCTGCCACCAGGAAGTGCCTCCGGAGCTTGAAACTTAGGGATTCTTGGGAATACTTTTGATGCTGTATTACCTTAGGGACTAGGGTTTAGGGTTTAGGGTTTAGGGTTGAGGGTTTGCGACGATAAAGGCCCTGCACGGTCAGGAAGGATTGAAGCAAAAGGCAGATCGTAGATTAGCTAGGCAAAACAGGTTGAGCGTGCAGTCGCCAGGCTCTGTGTAAAGACTCTGAGCCAGAGAGTGGGGTGTTTTTCCCATTCGATAGAACGAGCGAGTAAGCATTTCTCGTGTGCTGACGTTTTCGGGCCTCGGCTCAAGAACGGCGGAGGAGGCAGTGCTGGCAGTCATCAAGTCCAGTTTCACAAAGGGTTTAGGATTTAGGGATACTTTGGCATATTTTCTGAGAAGCAGCTACAACCATGAATTTTTGTCAGGGTTCCAAGTTCAGTATTAAGGAGAGGGCTGCGGAGTCCGGCAAGACTCAGACGGGCGCGAAGAAGTTGCCAGAACTCGACGCGCAAAGTCCTCCCATGGCCTCTGCCCACGAGCTCCTGGACTGGGACGCCTCGGGGAGGCGGTGCTGGAGCTACTCCTTCACCGGGGCGTCGGAGCAGGGGAGGATGGAGTTCCGAAGCCAAGGTCTCAAAAGGGAGTCAAGCTTCCACCGTTTGCTTATCAGAACACCCCCCCCCCCCCCCCAAAATGTAAAATAATAACAACCCCTATATTACCCTTATAAGGAAGAATATTAAGGAAGAATTTGTTTTTGTTTTGGGGGGGGGGGGGGTTCAGCAATTCGTGGGCTGGGGACATCCCCTAAGGATGAATTTCAGGAGGTCCCCTGAATCTACTCCGGAAATGACCCTTCTAGTGCCATAAGATCCTCAAACCCAAGGGTACAACCTTAGGGGTCCCCTAAACCATAAACCCTAAACCCTAAACCCTAAACCCATGAAGGTCACCTGCGAACAACCTGGGGTTGGGGAGACTGGAAGCTCATTCAGGCAGGAGCCAAGACACACATGGCCGTTACCTTGGTAGCTGATTGGCACCCTGTTTTGTCAGGGTTTAGGGTTTAGGGTTTAGGGTTTAGGGTTTAGGGTTTAGGGTTTAGGGTTTAGGGTTTAGGGTTTAGGGTTTAGGGCAGAAGTAACTCACACCACCAAAAAGCGAAGGGGGGGGGGGGGTACCCTCATGATAGGGCAGCCCTGGCCAAGGTGAGCTGGAGTGGCATCACCGACGTGTTGGAGCTTACTGATCCTGGATCCTTTCAGCTCGTGTCTCGCAACTTGGTCATGGTTGGGCAATGTTTTTACATCTTTAAGGGCACTTAAACCCAAGAAGGAATATAAATTTAGATTTTTAATACGATCGCAACCATGAACTAGGTAATGGCAGGCATGCTAGCACATTTAAGAAGAAGACCACGGGACACGTCTTGCTGGACGTCGAGATGCTGCAGTAGCGGCGGCCTGCCCCACCACCATTTTTCGAAGCAGACGGGATGTTGCGCATCCTCGTCGATTTCGGGGTGCCACGAGCCGAAGGGCGCGCGGAGTAGTCTTGAAGCGATTCGCAGCTTGTTTAGACTCGGGCGATTGCCTCATTAGAAAAAGTCCACTTCGCCAAGTCAGACGCGCTTGCCACCATGACACCGTTCCTCGCCTCACGGCCTCTGCCGATCACGTGGCAGGTGCCTTCGTGGCGCAGGCGATGGCAGCAGGCTGTGTCAGTTTGAGCCCGATATGCTCGAAGGGTGTATAAGGGCACCTTCTTGATTCAGCCTGTGTCCATCGCAGGTGCTGTGCCCCCAGGCTACGACTTTGACGCCACTCGTCTTGGGAATTTGACGAGCCGCACTGAGCTGTCTTAGTTGGAAAGTTCCGGGCAGAACTGTTTCTGGGGGTTCATCGCCCCATTCACTGGCCGCCATGCTTCAGCGTTTTGACGGCTGCTGTTTCGGATTTGGGTTAGGGTCTGCCTTCAGGCGCGTGTTGGACAGGATGTCAAGGAACTCAGGCGACACTGCTTGCAAACGGAAGGAGACATCAGCTGTCACATGCTGTCACCAAGGCACAGATGCGAGCCATGCAAGCCATGTGCCTTTGCCTTGCACATGAAAGTTGAGGGTGGATCTAAGGCCTGGTGGTACCCTTTTTCTCTTTTTTGGTTTCAAGGTCCCTTATTTTAAAGTTACCAAACCAAAAACGAATATCCTTATTACAATATGGTTACTGGGCTACCAAGAAAGTATAGTATACGCCCTTTGTGGAGCCGGGGCCCTTCCTTGAGGGTTCATGGGTAGTTAGTTAAGTACTAGTTGTATGTAGGCTTATATTCAGTGCCCGAGGGAATTAGAGTATGGGCTGCCTTACTTCTACCCCTACTTAGAACTATTCAATGAATCTCCAAGTAGTCATAAGGAATGTACATAAGAAAGACCCATGAGGCACCCAGTTTTGATCAAGCAAGCCAGTACAATTTTGGAATCACGGCAACAAAGCCCTAAAGCCTAAACTATAGCCGGTTTAGATTGGTGTTTGAGTGTGGCCAGAGCATCCGCGGGGCTCCCCGCCCTCCCCCTGAAGCCGCCACGGAACAAGGAAGGGACCCACCCGGCATACATGCTGTGGGCTGCCCAACCAGGTGGCTATAGGTGCTTTTCGTCTTCTTTGTGGAGGGCGAACCTCGTTCGGCAACCCTGCATGCTCTTGGGCTGTCTAAGAACCTAGCCAAGGATGGAGCAGATGCAGCAACCAAAGCCAGCACCTGCTCCGGCACCTGCGCCGGTGCCTGCGTCGGTGCCCGCGTCGGTGCCTGCGCCGGTGCCTGCGTCGGTGCCTGCGTCGGTGTCTGCGCGGGCCGCCAGCATGCCGGGCACTCAGGGCTTGCAAGACCCGAGCCCAGACAGCCGCCGTTACCCCTTTTGCTTTAGGTCTAAGAACATGGCTGTGAATGCTGTGAATCCGACTGGGCCTCCATATTTAATGGGTACCGGGCTACTTGCGCTGGAGTTCTGATAAGGCGGAGAAAAGAGAGGGGCTTCACATGGTTGAACTTGACCTGGTCGGCAGCGGGGCTAGGAGGCACTCAGCTCTATACGCTGTCGCCATTTGTTCGGCCCAGGATCTTCGCATTGAACTCGGGTCGCTTGGCCATGAATAAACACGAATGGTATGCCCTTCGGGTCCGTACATATTTATACGATAATGACCCCCCAAAAACCTTATTGCATTCGCAAGGCCCCTATATGACGCGGACGGCACTCACAAAGATAGTACCACTACGCACAAACCGTCCATGAGAGCGACAAGGGTAAATCAAGTGCTTCGCTTCTTACAGACAGAGCTGTACGTTTGAACGCCAAAGGGAAAACCTTAGAAACCCTAAGCCGCTAGGCAGCCTAAACTTTATATACCTTACAAACCCTACACAGCCCTATAAAACCCTATGAACCCGACAAACCCTATAAACCCTAAAAACACTATAGACCCTAAAAACACTATAAACCCAACCCTGTAATCCCGAAACCCCAAACACTACACCCCAAACCCCAAACCCCAAACCCCAAACCCTAAACCCGCAACCCTAAATCCTAAACCCTAAACCCTAAACCCTAAACCCTAAACCCTAGACCCTAAACCCTAAACCCTAAACCCTAAACCCTAAACCCTAAACCCTAAACCCTAAACCCTAAACCCTAAACCCTAAACCCTAAACCCTAAACCCTAACCAAACTGCTAATGAGCACCCGCAGCCAGCCATGGCCGAGCCCTGCGCAGCTGCGGGTTGCCAGCTTCCTGGCACGAAGCTGTGGCTGAGACTGCAGAGGGTTTAGGGTTAGGGTTTAGGGTTTAGGGTTTAGGGTTTAGGGTTTAGGGTTTAGGGTTTAGGTTTAGGGTTTAGGGTTTAGGGTTCAGGGTTTAGGGTTTAGGGTTCTAGGGTTTAGGGTTTCGAGTTTGGGGATCCTGGAGACGGCAGTTGTTCCCTAGGTAGGCTCTTGGGACACTTTCATATATTTTCCCCTCATTAGGTTTTTAAGAGGATCATATTAAACTCTACGCCCTAAACCGAGTAGGGTTTAGGGTTTAGGGTATAGGGTTTAGGGTTTAGGGTTTAGGATTCAGGGCTCCTCCGGGATTTCTTTATGCATGAGGAGCTCGTGCAAAGTCAGGGCGACACCGTGCTTGAACTCCATGATGCACCTTTTTTTTCTTTTTGTACTTGCTTAGGGTTTAGGGTTTAGGGTTTAGGGTTTGAGATTTTGTGTTTTCCCTCAACAGTGTACCTCCAGGACTCGCTTTCGTAAACTGATGTGCCGTGTTCATGGGCACGAGAGCGGCGTGCTCGGCCAGGCACGCTCAGACAAGCCGGTGCTTTTAGGGTTTCGGGTGTAAGGTTGAGGGTTTTGGGTTGGGATCAAGGTCCAGGTGTAAAAGAGATTACATCCCAACCCTAAACCCTAAACCCTAAGTTGAGGGTTTAGGCCTGGGATCAAGAAGTCCAGGTGTAAAAGAGATTAAACTTGGGATGTTCCCCCCCCTATGCTAACAGTTCCTAATAGGGCTTGTAATAGGGGGTTACTCGAATCCCTATTCAGGACTGTTAGTATAAAGGGGCAACATCCCAAGATGAAAGCTCAACTGCCCGAGTTGGCTTAGGTGTAGCCGCTGTGGCGCTGCAGCCTATTGCTCCACAGAGTGCCAGCGCAAGGACTGGAAGGCATCTCTCTCTCGGCTCAAATAGGGTTTAGGGTTTAGGGTTTAGGGTTTAGGGTTTAGGGTTTAGGGTTTAGGGTTTAGGGTTTAGGGTTTAGGGTTTAGGGTTTAGGGTTTAGCAAAGCCAGGAGGGCTGGGTGTTCGGTTCTAAGGTTTAGGGGTTCGGGTTGCAACTGTAAACCTTTAACTGCGGGTTTCGGGTTGTTTTTGGACTCGCTGAATGAACGAGAGGGAGAGAGAGAGAGAGAGAGAGAGAGAAGGCGTGAGAGTGTTTGGGTTTTAGGGGTTGCATGTTCATGTTTGCCGGCAGCCTCCAAAGTCCGTTGCTCAAAAGGGGTTGCATTTTATGGGTTTTGGGGCAAGCAGCACAAAAGCGGAGATGGACCGTCGTTTGAGTTTTCGGGTTCACGGCCGGACGACCGGAAAACACTGGTTCACTGTGTATCTAAGCCTGAAGGTTCATGCTGCTGTGCGAATCGTATGAGTGCCATACTTCAAAAGCTTGCGTTGCAGGAGGTCGCCGGGCCCCCCGCCCCAGCAAAACAGCAAAAAAACAAGCCCTAAACCCTAACCCTAAACCCTAAACCCTAAACCCAAAAAGGCCCAAAGATGACTCTACACAAGGCCCCCTTCCTTGTGGAGGGCAGGGGGGAGGGGGGGGAAGGGAAACCCTAAACGCTAAACCCTAGACCCTAACCAGTAAACCCTAAACCCTAAACCCTAAACCCTAAACCCTAAACCTAAACCATGGACCCTTGCAACCGCCTGATGCACATCCGAGACTCACAAGCTCTCGTGCCAGAAAGTCGTCTCTCCGGAGACTCGCTGCTTGGACTCGACAGACTGCATTTAGGGTTTAGGGTTTAGGGTTAAGGGTCTAGGGTTTGGGGTTTGGGGTTTGGGGTTTGGGGTTTAGGGTTTGGGGTATGTCACATGCTCTGTGTACACCACCATGCCAGGCGTGCGTTGTGGCGTGTGCCAAGGTTCACGCTCCCGCGACCTCGGTCGGATGTAGGGTTTACTTTCTCACAAGTAGTGGTTGGTTTTGTTGTGAGCTACAAGTGCGTTGTGATGCGTTTACAAAGCATGGCCGGTTCTCAAGATTGTGGACCCGTTTTGGGTACCCTAAATGTTAGCTGCGGCCTTATAATAGTGAGCCCAAAAAAGACCACAGTTTAGAGTAGTGACACTTTGTTTTTTTCGGGATACTGACCTCATAAGCAGGTTACAGACGTGGCACGCCGCGTTCCCTCATTCCCCAATGCAAGCTCCAATCTTGGTCATAGTTGGGTAACATTTTGCATGTTTAAGGGCACTTATACCCAATAAGGAATAGAAACTTAAGTTTCAAATACGATCCCCAACCATGAACTAGCAAAGCAAACCCCCTACGTCCGACTTCGTCGAACTCCCGCAGCCCAGAAAGGCGTCAGCGACCTTCTCCGCGCGGGCAAACTCTTCACAGCTGGGCAGGAGCTTGCCAAGCTGGAGTTGCCCGGCAGAAGGGTTTAGGGTTTAGGGTTTAGGGTTTAGGGTTTAGGGTTTAGGGTTTAGGGGTTCCGGTTCAGGGTTGAGGTTCAAGGCCAGGGCCCTGATTTCCAGCGCACGCTTAGGGCAGGTCCCCCCTCCTCCGTGGGCCGACGAATTTCTCTGCAACTGTCAGCCACGTCCGAATGAGTGACCAACACAAGACGGGCCTGGGAACTGCAAACCCTAAACCCTTTAAACCCTAAACCCTAAACCCTAAACCCTAAACCCTAAACCCTAAACCCTAAACCCTAAGAAGATGGCCTCATGGTTACTTGGAACTTCACACACTTCGAGTAAGGCTTATTGCTTCTGGTGAACGAACCAGGTTCCTGAACTTGAGAACCCCCCTTCACCTTGAAGGGCTTTGCTTCGCAGTTTAAGATATAGGGTAAGGGAGGGCGGCGTTAGGGTCCATATTTCCGCCCCAACAACAAACCTTGCTTTGCGTCCTCCCGGCTCCTTGTGAGGACCTCCTTTGTCATGCTGCAGGATTTTGCTCATTCTTCCCGTACTTCGAGAATTTTGCATGTAAACGCTTTAGGCCTCATTCTATGCACCTTCGGCAAATCCTAGGAAGCCGAGCACACGCCTGGCTACTGAGCACGAGGAACGTGTAAAAGACGGCATCCACTCAGAGGCTCCTGTTGGCTTCTGGTTTAGAGTTTAGGGTTTAGGGTTTAGGGTTCAAGTTTGGGTTACTTTGGGGCCTTGAGCATCTAGCGAGCATCAAAGTGCGGGGGCGGCATTCTGGTCTGGGCCTGCGATGGGTCTTGGCATATAGGGGGCTTATGGTATACTCCTTGCAGAATTCTTGCATGGGGACCCCACCTTAGAGTCTTAGAGCCACCCGAACCAATTGCACCGAGAATCAATTTGCCAGGAGGGTGTGTGCAGACGTCCCATGGGGCGTATCATAGGCGTACCCCTTGTAGCCCCTGAGTTGCCCCCTAAAGTACCTAAAGTGCCTAAAGTGCCTAAAGTACCTAAAGTGCCTAAAGTGCCTAAAGTACCTAAAGTGCCTAAAGTGCCTAAAGTACCCAAAGTACCCAAAGTACCTAAAGTACCTAAAGCCTAAAACCCTGTCCAGGTTGTGGAGGGACGGCTGGAGCTGCAGCCTGTAACCTTAGGCATGGGCTACGTCGCAGCGAAGGCTGGCTGCTCCGCACGTTTAGGGTTTAGGGTTTAGGGTTCAGGGTTCAGGGTTTAGGGTTTAGGGCTGCTGCTGCTGGGACTGCGGACAAGTCTCCACGACGTCTGGTACTATGAACATGCGGCTATCGCTGTGTAGCTGCAGTAAGAAGACAAAAACGTGCAACTAATTTGTAACGAAAAGTCGTTCTCAAGGGGATCAAGGGCTCAACCGTCAGCTGGTGCATTGACCATCATGTGAATACAGTCTGTAATGACGGGAGACAAATAGAAACCCTCGAGAGCCTTCACTACTTCCCCAAAAGCCAGGCCCGGTTCCTCTGCAAGAAGCTGTGTTGCCATCTCAATGGCATCCTCGGGGGCTTGGGAAACGAGGGGTAGGAGAGGGCCGGACAGGCGCACGGCCGGGTAGTGCGCCTTCTCATTGGACCCGGTGTGGGGCTGCGCCAAGGGGTTAACAAAAAGGCCATGCGCCCAAAGCGCCTCAAGGCATGACGGGTGGTCATGTTGAACGTGTCGGAGGGCGCGTTCACAGGTCCAAAACTCCGTAAGGCAGCACGGGCATGCAGTCCCTTCCACAACTGCTGCAGCGTCTGACTTCAGGTGGTGCACGGCGAATCGGTGTGCCCGGAGGGCTTGGTAGGTTGCGAAGGCGTCCCCACACAGCGGGCAGGCGTGCGGAGTAGCATTCGTCTCAGCTGCCATCTGCCTGGCCTTTGGCGACTTAAGCTCCAGGCTGGCGGCTTTGCGGACCATTCCATGAAAACGCTGCGGGCACTCGAGCACGAAGGCCTGCAGCCCCTCGGGAAGGTGCGAAGTAGCGCCGCCGGCGCCTCGAGCTGCGCGCCTAGCCATTCGACATCCTGGCGGAGCTGTTCTAGCCAGGAGCCGGCCGGGCTGGCGCGTCTCTCGGCTTCCAACAGTGCCAATAGGGTCTCCTGCTGGTGGACAACACATCTGGCAAAGTGGTGCATACGTTCGCACCTGAGGAAGGAGATCGGCAGGGGCATACCAGTTGCTTTACAAAGCTCGACAGCTCCAGGGAGGGAGGGTTCCCCAGTCCAGCGGTCGTCCCTTGTCATCAGACGCACCAGCTTGGCATATCCGGTGGTCCAAGCTGCCGTTTCGCCCACCCCGAGACGGGGCCACGTTGGGGCCGTGTGTGTGACGCGGGACAGAGCCAAACCGAAGAGCAGTTGTCTGCGCTTGGGAAGGGGCAGGTGTTCATTCCTGAGCACAGACTTCGCGAGCGGCCTCGCCGCTGCAAGAGCAGTCGCTACTTTTTGCCGCAGGTCAGCCATGGCGCTGCCTTTGGCTGTGATTCGCCCGCCCAAGTGCGCGTAGCTGGGGACGCAACCTACGGAAATGGTGCGATCACCTGCAGCGAAGAAAAGTTTGCCGTTTTGGCGCACAAAAAGCTCCCTGGCTAGCTCCCTTTTCCCGCGCCCGCTGAGATGCAGCACAACCTTCCGTCTTGCCAGACTTGTAGTTCGGGGCCATTGCTCTTCTCGTCATCTCATGGTGCGCGATCATGAGCGTACAGCGCGTGCGTTCGAGCAGCCGGTGGGAGGATGGGTCCGCCAGTAGGATGGCTGCATCATCCGCCCATGTCGGACACAGTAGCGCCGGGGCAATCTTCGCCGCGCTCTGTACTGGGCAGGCGAGAAGCCCGTCCGCTTGAAGGCGCCGCTCGATCGCGGACGTAAGGTCCGCTTGCACGAAAGCAAAAAGGACGTCAGCGATCGTGTCGCCGGGCCTGGCCCCAGCTCTTGTGCCAACAGTCGCGCCATCGCCGCGCATTTGGCCGTACCACGCGCTGGCTGTGTGGTGTCATGTGCTCAAGAAGCGCAGTGTCCCCGGCCCAAGCAAGAACTTCCTGGAAGTGGGAAGCATCAGTTTCGAGCCGGCGGAGGACGGCGATGAAGTCATCATCGCACATTGGTGCCTGAAAGAAGCATTCGCGCACCACGCGGTAGTATGCGGAGGTGACATCGAAGAAGAGCGCAGCATGTGCTGCCTTCTGCGCCCTCGCGATGGAGAAAAACGTCCGCAACAGGTGATGTCCTGAGGGCAGCAGGGACCCTGGGGTTCCGCCCTGGTGGAGCTCGCGTGGTCGCAGCGCTCCGAGAAGGGCCGGGCGCGTCGCTTTGCGCAGCAGCTTTCCCGGCTCGTCCAGCAGGCAAATCGCTCTATGGTTTGCCCAGTCCGCAGCGCTTCCTTTGCCTTTGAACAGGCTGATCAGGGTGGTCGCCTTAGACTGGATGGGCTCCGTTAGGCGCAAATGTGCCTTGAGGAAGAGGGGCAGAAATGCCCGCGCTGCTGCCCTAGGATTGGACCGCCAGATCCATCCCGGGATTTGGTGCCTTGCCAGTCTGTATGGAGCGCACCAGGTGCTCAATCTGAGAGAGAGTGGGCAACTCTCCAATTGTGAAAGACGCATCTTCGCCTGGCCCTGTGTTGCTGTCCGTGAAAAGCTCCTGGAGATGCACAACCGACCCTGCTTCCAGCGCCGCAAAGTGCTCACGTTTGGCGGCAAGGAGGGCGGACGGATCAGGCAGTGTGCCGTCCTCACTAGTCGAGAGAACAAGGGGAGCAAAGGGCTTGATGATCTTCTTGCCAGGTGGGCGGAGGGGCGCAAGGGCTTTGTAAAAGGCTTTTGCATTATTTGCCTGGCCGGCTTGCTGTAGGGCTTGTAACCTCTTACCTGCAAAGATGGCTTTGTCGGCCCGGATGGTGTTCCTGGCCGCGCTGCGGTCCACGTGCAGCCAGTGTATGAACACACATTTAATGGCGCGAACATCACGCAGTGTCCATCCTTCGCGTGAGACTGGGCGCTGGGAGCGCTGAGCAGACCAGGCGTATAGGATGGTGCGGAGCCGCAGCTTGCGCTCCAGCCTATCAAAACCGCGGAGTGAGCATCTGAGGCGCTTGCAGTCGCGCAACAGCTGCGCCGCCTCTTCTGACACGAAGGGCCGAGTTTTGCGCGGCGGAGGAGGGGGTAGAGACCCTATAACCTGCGCAACACCTTCATTCAAGGTCTGCATGTGTTCATGCACGTTAACCTCCCATGAGACTTGAGGCGGAGCACACCAAAAATCACGGACTGCAGCGTGACATCGGTCAGTTGCCATGCCTGGGTCTTTGGGGAAAGCAGACCCACTTTCGCGCGTGGCAGCACATTGTGCAAGGAAATGCACCGTGGCACAAGCAGCCCAGTGGTCTTCATGCGGCCTGGTTGGGAGAAGGTCTTTGTGCACCCATGCAGAGACGCTGCTTTCAGCCCATGAGCGTGGCAAGCACACATAGTCAATGCGGTGCATTGTGCCGTGTGGCGAAACCCAGGTGGGCTCACATGCACATGGATCGACAAGTCCCTTGCGATCAGCAAAAGTAGCTGGCAGCCACATCTGTAGGTCATCGGCCAGTTCTCGCAGATGCGCGCCCGCGTGGCATTCTTCTTCTTTGGCATGGGCGCCTATGCCAGCTGCGGAAATCGATCCGACTCTCGCATTGGCATCAATCAGAAGAAGCAACTTGCCAGCAGCATCCTTGGGGATGGCTTGGGCAAGCCTTCTCCACCAGCCTGTGATTTCCGTATGCGTATTTCCAGAGTGTGGGGCATGTGCAGAAACACAGCAGAGGTTGAGCCCAGGTGCATGAACGGCACACACAAGGATAGTGGGTTCGGCATGCAGGCAGGAGACGTGCTCCGGTAGGATGTGCAGGGGGTTAGCTCCTTGCCATCCATATGGAACGTTTTTGGCGAAAATCAGTGAGATGCCATGGTTGCCCCCGTATCCGGCCGCATGCACTTCGAAGAAGCCCCTGCCTTTGCATTGGTGGTCATTCCCCTCCCTCGTCTCCTGCAGACCAACAACATTGAAGCGTTCCTTGTTGAGCAGGTGCCAAAGCTCGTCCTTATTCTCCTTCAGGCTCTGCACATTCAGAGAGCCAACTTTGAGGGTGATGGCAGTGGGGGACGGCGCTTCCACGTGCACTTTAGGCTGCAAGAGTCCGACAGGCACGTTGTCGGCTGGCTCATATTTTCCGGCCTGCAGAAAGTCCAGGGGTGGGCAATCATCTGTTGCCGTGAAGTCACGCCACAGCCATCCAAAGAGCGGGTGGAGGACAACATTCCAGACGGCCGTCGGCAGGTCCGTGTCTTGCCACACTTCCAGTGCTGCGGCTTTGGAGAGCGCATCAGAGATCTCGTTGCCCGCTATCCCCTTGTGACCGGGTACCCAGTGCCAAACGATGGTTCGCCCTTGGGCTTCAAGGATCTGCACGGCTGCTCGCGCAAGAGCCGCGGCTGCGCGGTCAGTTTCGGAGCCAGCTGTTTGGTAGGAGCCGTTTGCTGCGCCCAGGACAGACTGCGAGTCGACATGAAAGTGAATTGGCAGTCCTGCCGTGAGGGGTAGGGCCCATATGGCAGCCATGAGGATGGCCACAGCTTCAGCATCATAAGAGCTGTAGTCGATCGCAGCAGAAGAGGCAACCCACGGTCGCAGAGAGCCGCAAGCATAACCAAGGAAGGCCAGGGGCTGGCTGGCATCAGTTTGCTGGATAAAGACATTAAAAGCCCAACCCCCCCTGTGAAGGCGTGCACCTGGGTCGAAGGAGCCGTCAGTAAACACGTGCATAGCCACACAGGTTTCTGGAGGTCCCGGAAGGAGGGCGCTGATGGAACGATAGGGCAGTGCCAAGCCAGGGATCTTCTGCAGGTTGCGCCTCAGGGGGACCGCACCAAGGACGGTCAGCAGTCGAGTCTCATCTCTGAGGGCCTGTAGTGAGGTGGGCCAAGCGGTGCCATCACCTCGCTCCACTGGCGGGGCTGTCGGGGCAGAGGCAGGTGGTGACGGCACAGCAACGCGCCTGCGTCCTACAGGGGTAGGAATGCTGGCGATGCAATGTCGGCCCTGAGCTGCCGCAGGGCTTACTGCTTTCCCTTCGCTGGGTGCCTCTGCAGCAGCCATGGCACCTCTTGCGTGTCCTACGGCGCTC